ACTAAGGTTTTCCCTGCCCAGCTCTGTACCTGCATTTCTCTGCAACATCATACTACTGGTTTAAGAAAACAGAGATCATTATTTGAGCATCACAGTCAGGTTGTGGGGTCAAGTTTAGGCCACCTCTTATGGTACTTAATGACATACAGGAGCTGGTGGGGGAGCAATACCCATGTGCCTCTTACCCTTTTTCTTCACTCCACCACTTGTGTAGCTAAATGTAGGTGTCAACAGATATAATTTCCTTTACAAATTCAAAGTAAGACGTTAGATCAAAATGCTGTTGATGATTCCAATTTTTTCATTATTAAAACAACCTGATCACCCACAATATCAGTCTAGCAAATAAGGAAAGCCCTCTTGCACAATTAGCAGTCAAGACTTCCACTGGTTTTGGTTACAGTTTGTTGAGGCTCTTTGGATTAATAATGTGCGAGAATGAACTTGAAGAGGTTGCTAATCACTGGTACCATGTACTATAGCAGTAGGAGCCACAGGTGAATAATCCTTCAACAAATACATACTGTTAAATCTCGTAATTGATGCAAAGAACACAGGCAGTAGGTTTACTAATTGGTTTTACATGGTACATCACCCATTCTGACCATCTGATGTCCCAAATTAACAACTGTAATATTATATGAACAGAAGATCTTTTTACTTGAAGGTCTAAAAAAACAAATCCTCTCCTTTTTGCACTCAAGCAACTGAAGTCTACTGAGGACCAAAAAATAGCCACCTCCATTCCCACAGACCCACAAGTCAGTCAAGCAACTGTTTAAATTGTTGCTAGTGTGGGCTGCACTATAAAGAAACAAGGAATTTTTGTAAATTACTCAAATAATATTCACTGGAGATGTTCATAAATCTACTGTCCACTCCTGCACACAGAACAACCCAAAACAGTAATTGGAGCAGTTGTCTGGAAAGGCTCACTATGCAGCTGTGGTGGCTGCAGCAAGAAGCAGCAAAGCATGATGGAGAACTCAGACAACCCATAGTGAGATTTTGGATATAGTAGAGGTCGCAGGAAAACAACTACATACATAAAACAAGGCTTTCTGTTTGCATCCCATTAATGGCTCTGTCGTTAGCTCAGTGCAAGATTTCATCTCTATGACTTTTTTCCATACACCTTCCAAGATCATTATATTGCTCTGTGTACAGTCATACTTGGACAGCCTTAATACTTTTTAATGTACTTTTCTTTGAAAAACAATCCTTAGATGACTTGCACAAACTCAGTGTCTGTGCCTTTGTTTCTATTCCAGCCAAGAAGCAGTCTATGGGAGAGCAAAAGCAGCAGACAGGGAGCTCATAGTAAACTTGCTATACCACCATGCACAGCTGCAAAACTGTAGGGTTTGGGTTTCCTTGGTTTACCTCTTTTTTTTTTTTTTTAATTACATCTCTTTTGTAAAAAAGCAAAGAAATTTAGAAAGCCACTATATATCCATTAATATACATGTGAAATTAAGACATGTCCTTTAGGCAGAGCCCATCTCTTACTGTGCATTCAGTGGCTCATGTCTGGCAGTGCACGATCTCAGTACAATCACAGCTGGGATACACCGTTTAAACAAATTGGGCTGCAAACATGAACATTTTCACTTCAGTTTGCAATTCAGGTTAGAGGGTGAACCACAAAAACCTAGATTTCTAATGTAAGGCATCCGTTTCTGCAGATTAATCATTCCTATGTAGCCAAAGGGAGCTGGTCCAGGTGGAAAGGTGAGATAGAATGATGTGCTTGACAACAGCTTGGGGGAAAAAAAAAAAGGCAGGGAAGAATTAAGTTAGAAAAATAATGCTGGGAATGGATCACTTACTCATTGCTTGTGCTGTGAACTGGACTGGTCTGATACGTTTTTGTCTTAATACTATCTGCCAAAGGAGTTTCTACAACTTTGCAATAACCTGCACCGGTGCTCGGTTCCCTACCCTGCTATCTATAAGAATCAAGCCTAGATTTTACTTAGCCCAAGCTAACTCATTATATCCCTCTGAAAGAAACAGAGAATAGAACACCATAACCTTTTACTGATCAGGTATCAATATGCTTCTCAGTTCCCCTTTCTACATTAACAACCCAAACTCCTACGGCTTTTCTGCATAAATCATACTTTCTAAACATCTTGCTAGATAGAAAAGATGCTATTTCTTGGCATGCAATGCCCATAGTACTTGCACAGAGGAGTAAATTATTTCCTGTATCTTATCACAGTATTCCTGTTAATACCCCACAGAAGTCACATCCAAATTAGTTTGTGATCCACTCCAAACCTCTATGAAATGTACAGTATGACTGAAAATTGCCACAGGAAATACATGCCCAATAATCACTGAAGAGCTCTGTAATTCAAGAGCTTGAGTTGTCTTTAAGCCAATGGATACATTCTAATCCTGTTTCTCTTATTTCCCATTACTCTAATACAGCTCTGTTATGAAAGCATCTAAAAATATCTTTCAAAGAAAGTCTTCATCACACAAATGACCAAATCTACTTGCTTACTCAATAAGTTGGTATACGTCTGACAAATAAAAATGAAAATGCATCATTTAATCTGAAAAAGTGTGCCTTGAATTTTTGTGTTGCTCACTCCTTCATTTTCTGCAAACTGTGCGAAATATCATGCAATAGTGAACATTCATAAAAACCCACAGCACCAGAAAACTTACAAGTAAGGTGTATGATTCAGAAACGAAACAAAGACACGATGCTGCTGGACAGTTTTTGCCATACAGCTACTTCTATACTCTTCATTAAAGATGTCAAAGAGCAATTCTGAAGAACCTGAAATGGTAACAATGGATCCAGAAGATTTAAGTCGCAGTGGGATGAGGTAGGGAGGAGGAGTGTATTCTTCCTACTTCTGCCATCCTTTACTTTTCTTCTTAGAAAGAAAAGCAAACAGGAACCGGCTTTTCTACTTTGGACCACTGCCAGTTCAATTGTAATAGGCATTAGAGATATGAATGTGTGAACTATCCACATAAAACATCTCAAAAGTGAGAGTAGCTGGATTAGTCTGTATAAACTGCACAGTGTCTGAATCCAAGCTATGCTTTTGTAATCAGTAATGTTTACTGTCCAGAGCAACCTGAATTATTGTTAGATATGTTATCATTCCAGTAATGGTTTATATACTATCATTTTCAAATCGAAATACAAAGATCCGCTATTTTAAAAAGTGTAGGTATCTGGAAGGCAATTAGTGTTTAGGGCTTCATTCTATTCCTGCAAATCTGAAACTCTGAAGGAAAGAAATCTGAATCTACAAATATATTCTACGTTTCGCCTTTATTCTTCCACATTTTCAAACAAGAAAGATTGCGGGGGTTTTAGGAGCCATGTTCTTGCTCTGATTTTCTATTTCTGGGCATTTAGAGATTGCTTGTTAGATTAGGTGAACAGAGTTACAAAATGGGTTATCATTTCTATCTGTATTGTTGTTCTTACATTTTATTCTCCCTGCAAAACAGGTGCATCTTCTTCTCAGCATGTCATGCATTTCCTCTTGGGAGAGTGGGTGGTTCTCACAGAAATAAAAAGTATTAAGCTCTGTAAGAAACAAATTCTGCATAAAAAAACATTCCAGCAAAATGTAATGCTGCACAATATAATGCTGCTCTCTGATGAAATAATCTCCTTGTTTCTCCTGACACCTCTTTGGAGTCTGTGGCAATGCCTGTGCATTCTCCCTCAAGTTATAACAGTAATGTTTCCTAAACCCGGCTGAGCATTTCAGAAAAGAAGACAACTTTTAACCCTCCAGTGTTAAGTTCTTTGTATTATGAACTTTCATGCCTTGTATTCAATTATAACTTTTCAAAGAACTCAAAATCAGTAGCAGCTAATTTTTATTCCCCCACACCTGTCATGGCCTCAAAAGGTTTAGCAACCTGAAAAAACCCTACACACACAGGGAACCCAGGACACAGGAGGATGACTAGTAACATATCCAAAAATCAAATACAATCAAAAGAAAGCACTCGTCTTTGTACAAGCTGGCATTTCATATATAAAAGACATCTGTCACTTAGATGTGGCACAACACTCAACATAATAGGGAGAGCATTAAGTGCTGTAGAGCAGGTTTGAAGCTCATAGAGAGAGGTCAGAAAGGGACAGGGACTTCAAGGGTACTTGTCATTAACACCCCTTCTCTGCACATTCTGCAGAATTCAGGCTCCAAAAAGGTGTCCTAGAACAGTGCAAAAATCATGACCAGTGCTTCCACCAAAAATTGTTTCATGCTGTCTTCAGCTGGGGAGGCGACCAAAACCCTGCATGTTAAATACTAACATCCAGTTGTCTGCTTTCTCCATTAGTAATTCCTCATCTTACAGAAACAACTGATGACTCCTTGAGAGAAACACACATTAAAGAAACTGTGGCAGTCAGACCTATAATGGACAGACAAGCACTGGCCCTTTCCCTTTGCTACAGGTCATCCAGCAGGTTTGAGACATACCATCAAAGGCCAGATTTTCGGGAGAGCTCAGAAGTATCACTAAAGCATCACTCAACCTGTGCATTGGCTAATCAAGAGAAAGAAAGAAACAAAGAAAGAAAACAGGCTGTAACTACCCCTACTCTGTACCATTTCTTTTAGGACTGGCCTTTAAGTCAAAACCTCAGGAAACCCTTTTCGACTCCTAGGCTTATATCACTGTACTAAGAGCTGCATCTCTTTGAGAGCCCTCACTTCCATTTTTTGCTCTCTGCATGATCACTCCCTTCTCTTTGTATTCCCACCCATGTGCAGAATTCATTAGCCCTTTGCCTTCCATCAGAGCACTTAAATCAAATGAGTATATCTTCCAAAGCATTCAACACCCAAGAGCTTCTGTGGGGAAAAAAGAATAAAATCAGGCATTTAGCTTTTCAATTCCTTTGGGGCTGTGGCCTTCAGCACTTCTTGGTAAAACTTTTAAGGCAAATAAAAGGAAAGAGATATATATGTTTCTTACTTCCCCCTTTTCTTGCTGTCTTGTAGCCCATGGGATCAGAGCGGATGGAGATGCGCAAACGGCAGATGTCTGCGACCCAGGAGACCCCAGGTGCTGCACAGGCTCCGCTCAGTGCAGGAAATCGAGGGTCCAATGCCTGCTGCTTTTGTTGGTGCTGCTGCTGCAGCTGCTCATGGTAACCCCTCTCATTCAAGCCTCTGGGGAACAGAACAGCAGGGGAGGGAGGCAATAGCCAGCATATAGACAACACAAGCCAAACAAAACAGCTGGGTAATTCTGCAAGTCTGGAACTAAGAGAGATTACTGTGCTCTAGTACTATGCACAACCTTCTACTCTAGTTTGCTCTTTTTATTTTTTTTTACTCTGCCATTGAAATAATATATTTTCTTTAAATAATCTCTGTACAGTGTCTCTGTTGTACTTTTGTTGTCAATACTGTGTAATAGAAGGTCTGTTTCGTGCATGACTGGCTCTTCTCAGCCTTGAGCTTCAACAGGGTTTCCACTAAAAACTGAAAGCAATACCAGAATATGTCATTGCTTTAGATTCAGGATTGGGACTTAACAAGCAGCAGAGACTGTTAAGTGGAGTTAGGAGAAGATGGTAGAACTTGTAGGTCAGAAAGCAAATAACCAGGTGCCCAACACCGTTCTTTTATTTCAAATGCAACTGGATCTGTCGTCATTAATTACTGTTGCCAGCTGATCCTTAGGATCAGAGACCTCAAACATTGTGGGTATTTGCTGAAGATGAAGAGTTAAGCAAAACATAATTCAGAAGAACTCCCACGACAAGTGTTAAGGAGGAAAATTCATCAAGGCATCAAAACAAGAGGAAAAGGAATCACTTGGTTCCTTAAATTAGTGATGTGTTCACATGTCTCTCTTAACCAGCTCCTCCAGATCCAAGTGATTTCATTGAAAACAAAAGCTTCCCCTACTGGAAGTCCTGTATCTCGTTCAAGGCCAAATGTTAATTAATGGGCAAGACCAGAACTTGCATTGAAATAAAAAGTCTTAAACAACTGGAGGAGTTCAACCAAAACACTGAGAGCAAGCTGAGTGCTTCTTACAAATGCACTATCCACGACATACACACTTCAAAGCAAGCAAACCTGGCACTGAGGTGAAGGGAAGAAGTCAGAAATAACATTACAGCCCATACTAGGCAACTATTCCACCATTTTTTTTCCAACAGCAGCTGATACAAATGCTCTGGAGTATGCCATTAAAGGCAGGAGAAGGCTGATCACTCCTTTGCTATTAGTACTCAACTCATCAGAAGCAGAGATACCCACTTCTGCCCTCCCTCATGCAAATAGTTAACATTTTGTGAGGACTAAAGGGTGCTTGGAGCTCTTTTGCAGGATGCCAAGTACTCTGGCTGTGATCCTACCAAGATTTTCAGGAGGTGCTTAGAGGTAAACTATGGGAGAGTTTAAGGAAACATTAAGTACTGTACCCATACGGAATCGGAGTCTGCCGTCTCACAGGACTGCATCTATGTTAAAGCATCCCAATACAAATTCCAGTGTCATTTGCATACCTGTCCAGTGCAATCTTATAGAATCATACAGAATGGTTATAGAATGGTTTAAGGTTCCATAAAATGGACTCTCAAGTGGCTCAGTCTAGAGCTGCATTACACAAACACAAGTCTTTCCATAAAAGGGAAAAAATAAGGCACATTTAGCTACTAAGAGTACATAAAATTTGCATTATCTTTTAAATTGTTGATAAACTGCTTTCTTGCCATTTTACCTGATATTTTCCAGGATGCTCATTTTCTGTGCACCTCTCTATTCAAACAATTCAAAGAAAGCAATTTACTCAATAGGGTCTGTGAAAGTACCTGAATTTCATGATGCCTAACATTCCTATTTGCATTTCAGAATCACCTGGGAAACCAGAATAGGCTCCAAAACAGAGCAGCTTGTTTTAGCTTTAAAATAATTTGATTTTTTTGAGAACAATTGTTTTCTAGTAGCAAGAAATGCAAAACAAACTGTAATTATGCTATTTATATTCCCTATTCACAGTGCTTTTCCTCAAAATAGCTCAAGCACTTTGAACAGAAAAATTATGAATAGGAATAAAAATAGCAATCTACATGAGTCATGCAGCTAAGTTGCTGAACATCCAATATTCAGCATACTCTTAATAGTAGATTTAGAGTGAAGAATTAGTGAAATGAGTCTCAGCTGGATGCTCAGAGCTTGCGTTCATTCCTACAGCCACAACTGAAGCCTCCAACCTGTTACTTTTCCAAATCCTAAGAAGATGCAGTATTGCTCTAGTCTGTTTTTCTTTACCTTGGAAAGAGCCTGCCTGAGAGGCATTTTCTGAGGAATGACATGGTCTCTTAAAGGAGCAGTTACTGCTTTTGTCTTTTTTTCCCCTTTAATGCATTATCCTATGAAGACACTTTTCTATTGGATCTGTTGATTCCCCTCAATCCAAAAATAACTGACAAGCATATCACTTATCTGTGTGTGAGGAGTACATACTATACCACTTTTCATATTTAAAAAAGGCCAGAATCCTATATATCCCAAAAGAACAGAGAATTAACAATACTACTTAGTTTTTAAATCTTATTCTGAAATGATGAACTGAAATCACAGAATCATAGAATGGTTTGAGTTTGAAGGGACCTTAAAGCTCATCCAGTTCCAACCGCCTGCCATGAGCAGGGACACCTTCCACTATACCAGGTTACTCAAGGCCCTGTCTAACCTGGCCTTGAACACTTCTAGGGATGGAGCAACCATAATGTCTCAAATGAGACATACTCATTTCCAGTCAAACTCAAAATGATATTGAGCAAATATTTATCTCCTTTTCACGCCACAGGCCTCACATTTTTAAACATGTATTAGCACTTTCTTAAAGCTGCGATCAGTTACCACACTGTCTGGCTAGATCTACATTTGAAATCCAAATGACGCTTACAGTTCCAACATCACACACGGAAGTGTCTAGCTTGCTTAAAACCTGCACTTCAGCTTCTGAACTCTAGGTTTTTTTGTAACATGGTATCACCACTCTAAACCAGAGTCTTGGCAAGCATCATGCCCTATAGATATAAAACATAGCCAAGAAGAAAAAAGCTCAAACAACGCCAAAACCAAATCAACCAACCTGGTCTAGTGCAAGGAGTCCCTGTCCATGGCAGAGGGGCTGGAACTAGATGATCCTTAAAGGTCCCTTCCAACCCAAACCATTCCGTGATTATATGAGCCTTGAAATCTAATTCATAACCAGTGCATCAGATCTAACTTAAGTAAAATTTTCACTGGGCATACACAGTATAATAAGCATCAATAGAGAGCAGATCTGCTACATAATAAAGGGTACATGTGTGTACATTTATTCATAGATATATATCCCATATATGTATACACACACACCTATATATATAAACACTTGTGGGTTTATTTATAGATATATATATACATATAGGCACTTGGACATGATTATCTCTATGAGTCCCTTCTTACTTGAGATATTCTATGAATCTATGACCCCTGTATAGAAAATGTATGTGATACAATATTGAATAGCATTCTGCTACATTAAAGTTTGCAAGGTTTATTCAAGTGTAAAATTAATGTCAGAGTGCAACTATGGGTAATGTGGCTACTGTTAGCTTTTGCTACCTAATTTCTTTCAAATATCAGAGGAAAGGCATCTGGTGTACCTTCAGCTTCTTCCTCTATAAAGCCAGCTGAAGTTTTGTTTGCTACCTTGCAGTCTTACTGTTAGAAATCAAGATGAAGAGAGAGCAAGGAGAACATCTCATGAACTGCAAGCAGAGGGTATTCCAAACTGCGAGGAAAGGTATGGTCTTTACCAAGTGTTCTGTCAACCTAAAATGACATAAAGCCAACAAAATATACTAAATAATTAAAGTGAATTACCCCGAATTTGTGTCTATGTGGAATTTGCAGTCACCTGTCTTTTATCTCTTAAGGAACCAAGATCTATAATCCTTTACTTTATACAGAGGATGTAACTGCATCCCCACTTTCATAGCATGGCAGATCAAAAACCAGCACTGTGAACACATTCTCCCTTTTTTCCTGAAATAACTTTAAAACACATCCTGTTCCCACCCAGCAGCTATGCAATGAAGGTAACTGGCAGTGCTTAGCCTTACAACAATAATAAAGAGGAGCTCAAATCCTCCCAAGAGTCAGGTAACTGCCTCTTGCTCAAACAGGCAGGAGCACCTGTAACAAGACAGGAGGGTACCTTTTATAGGGTTTTGAATCATTGCTTCTTTCTACATATTTGCATTCAGTTTCTAACAATGATTCAATAAGGACTACTGGGTATAGAAAAAAATACTTAGCTTTTTCAGAGGGACTTCTTTGCTGCAATTACTTTGAGCAGTAAATTGCTATTTCACCACTGAAGCACTAGCAATTATCTGCATCTGAGTTTTTTATAAGCATGCTTTGAAAAAGCATCTTATGTTTACTAGAGTTTGCACTAGGTAGGTCCAGTGAGGAATGGAGCCCCATGAACCTTGTGATTTTGTTCCATTGTGATGGTAGCTGCAAACAGCTTGAGTTGACAGTCATTCATTTCTCTCTTCTTGTCCTCTCGTTCCCCCTCCTGTCCTCTTCTTCCTCCTCAAGCCCTGCTCCTACTCTTGAAGAAGTAAATGCCTGGGCTCAATCATTTGACAAGTTGATGCTTACTCCAGCTGGCAGAAATGCTTTTCGTGAATTTCTACGAACAGAATTCAGTGAGGAAAACATGCTTTTCTGGATGGCCTGTGAGGAACTGAAACAAGAATCCAACAAAAGTGTCATTGAAGAAAAAGCAAGACTAATTTATGAAGATTATATTTCTATCCTTTCTCCAAAAGAGGTATTTTAATTTTCCCCAATATGTTCTTTGATGCTGCTTTGCATAGTTAGTTATATCGTGTTTAAAGCTACAATACTCGGAAAAATTGCCCCTCTATTCCATTGTCATCAAGTAGGAATTTAAGGGAAAAAAAGGCAGACCCATTGTTGAGGATCTCACCTCAAAACTGCTCAAAGTAGTCAAAGCTACTTTCACTGGCTGCAAAAGCTCTGCCTATGCTACCCTGGCATTCTGGTGTGAAATTTTTAGTTTGAGGCACAAATATACAGATGATCACTTCATCCCTGATCAAATTCTGTTGCACAAATGAGTTTCTTTATTCTTTGCACTAAAAGGGGATGTGTGCTCTCCCCAAAAGCACAGCAACCACAAGTAGTGTTATTTGCAAAGCACAAATTAGTCAAAGAGCAGCTGACAAAATACGGCAGAGAACAAACACGATGACTTCCTGAAAGTTTTCAAAACTACACATCACTGTTGCTGTTAGCAAACGTGTCAAGTTTTGAAGACACCTCAGTTCAGTTTGAACAAAATCCTCCCAAGTAGACTGGAAATTTAAACCTTGCAGTATCATTGCAAAGCTTGAACTTAATTGTTTGTGGTGCAAGCTATACTTACGCATTTATAAAGATGCTCTTGAAATCTAGTCAGCCTATTCCAGCAATACTAATGTCTCTCTACTGACACTAGAGTCTTGCAGAAAAAAAGAAGAGAACATTATTTGTATGTTGCATGGAGTCATTATATAGCCGTATCTGTGGTTCGCAGCAATTCACCCTGCTTTTGAACAGGAATTTGATTAAGCAACAGCTTAAAACAGGGTTACAGTTTCCGTCTGCGTCATACTGCTTGCTCCAAATTCAGTCTCTTTACAATAGTACTAACTCCCAAGGAAACAAACTGTCATAAAAAATTACAAATTCTCTCTATTACAGAGCAGGAAGTTGGTCTAGAAATAGTCCATCAGTCTCTGAGGTTTCAGTAATAATGGGATCACAGCCAGCCTTGTCCAGAGTAAAGTCACCTCAGGGAGAAAATTTCTGTATCCATACTAAAGATACTACTACTTCCAAATTTCGAGAGTCATTTTCTGCCCAAGTATATTTATCAGTTTTTACACTCTTGAAGGACACCAGCTGAAATCACAGAATGTTCTGGGCAGGAAAAGGCCTTAAAGTTCATCCAGTTCCAAACCCCCTGCCATGGGCAGGGATACCTTCCATTGGTCAGGGACACTTTCCATTAGACCAGGTTCCTCAAAGCCATGTCCAACCTGGCCTTGAACACTGCCAGGGATGGGGCAAGCCACAACTTCCCTGGGCTTCCCTGTTACAGTGCCTCACCACCCTCACAGAAGAGATTCTTCTTAGTGTCTAATCTATATCTACCCTCTTTCAGTTTAAATAAACAAGACTGCCTTTTCAAACAGTAAAACAAACCTAAACCCCCACGTGTACTATTCACCAGTATTATTTACGTGACTTTCTGTTTTAATATGCAGGTCAGTCTGGACTCCAGAGTAAGAGAAGTTATTAACCGAAATATGCTGGAACCCTCACAACATACCTTTGATGACGCACAGCTTCAAATTTATACCTTAATGCACAGAGACTCCTACCCACGGTTTATGAACTCTGCTATTTATAAGGACTTGCTTCAGTCCTTATCTGAAAAATCCATTGAAGCATAGAATTTTTTCTTAAATGTATTTATTTTAAAACAAACAGAACTCTGGGCTACATCAGTCCACAGGGAATTTAGAATCAATCAGATATTTACCTGAAAATAACTCAGGCAAGTTTTACTACAGACTGAATGATTTAAACCTGCACAAGGCTCTGGCACAATCAGCTAACTACAATTTCTGATCAAATTCAGTGTGTCTTTGCAAAAGAGAATGAAGAGAACGAGAAAATGTTGTTCAAAAACTGCAGTATTTCTTCTTCTTCAAATACAGCATGCAATTCAGAAGCAAAACTCCTAGCAACGTTATGTCTGAGGCACAAATACCAACTGAGCACGAAGACTACCTTTTATTTCTAAGTGGATTGTTAGAATTTTTCTGGAAAACCAAACCAGTTGCCCCATCCACACTGTGCCCAAAGTGAAAACAGTACTGTCAATATCTGGGTTACATGAAACAAAAGTTCCACATATACCTGGCTTACGTATGGTCCACTTCTCTTGGTATATTTAATGCATATATGGTGCACTAATGGAAACTGATATGGCAATCTCAAGTTTATGGAAGCTAATGGTTGTAATCATGCTGCCTATAAAAATCTTTTCCTAAGAATTGTTATTTTACTATTAGAGTCTGGTGAATGCATTTTTAAGTTCATACTGTTGATGTTTATAAAGTTAAATTATTTACTTCAGAGGAAGAAGAGTCTCGGCATTTAAATTCCAAAACAAAGCACAAGAATTCTCACATATTCTTCTCTTCCCTTGGTAGGTAGATGTAAAAACCCTTCACTATTTGTTCCTGAGAAGATGGAAGTATCAGCCATCTTGATTTTGTACATATTAAATTGTCCCATTATCTCACAGATCTTGTAAGGTTTCTATTCCAGATACACACATATTTAATTGAGAAAAGAAGGAAGTTAGAACTATTCTGTTGTGATACAGCACTATTTCCGACTGTCCAAAAGAAAAGCAACAGCTCTATCCACTAATAAACCATGTTCATTTACAGTATCCCCAAAGCATTACACTTTATTTCTGACTGCATCTCAAAAATCAGTAATCACAGGAAATACTACGAAGAAAGTAAGTTGAATCTGCACAATCTATGTGTGGAATATGTACGTTATTCTGTGTATAACTATGTATGCTATTCTAACACCTTCTTTATTTTAAATTACAAGATTCACTACAATTCCACTAAATTAAAATTTGGAGTTCACAGTGGACTTCCACTGAATCGTGTTTTTTCCTGGGCATTTATTTAAATGAACCAAATGACACATATAGGTAGAAAAAGGACGTATGGGAAACAGAAAGAAAAAAAAATACCCCTAGAAGGGAAGAACCAGACAGGCACAGTTCAGTGGCATTTACTGTAACCTTTCTAAAGCTTACTCTTTACCTAATTCCAGCACTATAAAAAGCACAAAATGGGGACCTCCTCTGATAAAAGACAATGGGACTAGCAAGGCAAAATTTAGGATATTGTTTCCTCAATGCACTCAGCAGGAGACCTGTTTTCCCCTTACATCATTTGCATTATTAAACAAATAATGATGAGATTTTTCATTACACAGCACCACAATAGAATACTCAATCCATGGTAAGTTAACAATACTATGGACCAGTTTCCATCATCTCCTTCCAAAACAAAAACACCATTCAACATGTCAGCACAAAAAAGTAAACCAAAAAACTTAAACAGCAAATCAAAGTGCTCTTGTCCTCTGAAGCACAAGCACAACACTGGATGACTGAGTTAAGAGGAAGCCCGTCAATATACTGCTACTCTAAGACACAGTCTAGCCAGCAGACACCACCACTTAACATACCAACACTGGTTATCTCATCTGAATTTCTAGTAAACATACTCAAAGCACTACCAACACAATTTCAGTTTACATAAAGTATTAAACTGTAGGTAGTAACTTCTAAAAAACAAACTAGACATATTGGTAAACACAGTGTTCATGGGGAACTTGCAGTCAAATTTATGAAGCGGTATGTACCATACAATCATAGATTGATTTGGGTTGGAAGGGTTACCTAGTCATCAGAAAGATCATATAGCTCCAACCTCTCTGCCATGGGCAGGAATACCTTCCACTAGACTGGGTTCCTCAAAGCCCCATCCAACCTGGCCTTGAATATTTCCAAGGTTGAGGCAGCCACAACTTTTTGGAGTCACCGTTCTCGTAATGAAGAATCTTTTTCTAATACCTAATCTAATTTACCCTCTTTCAGTTTAAAGCCACTCACCCTTATCCTATCACTACATGCCCTTGTAAGAAGCCCCTCTCCAGATTTTTTGTAGGCTGCCTTTAGAAAGCTGGTCTAAGGTCTCCCCAGAGCCTTCTCTTCTGAACAACCTCAGCTCCCTCACAGCCTGTCTTCACAGCAAAGGAGCTCCAGCCCTCTGATCATCTTTGTGGCCTCCTCTGGACTTGGTCCAACGGGTTCATATCCCTCTTGTGTTGGGGGCCCCAAGGGTTACATGCAGTACCCCAGGTGGGGTACCATGACTGGAGCCGAGAAGCAGAATCACCTCCCTTGACCTGCTGGCCATGCTCGTTTCGATGCAGCCCAGCATATGGTTGGCATACCATCAGGCTGGGTAAAAGTACTCTAAAATTCTTATGTTAACAAAGTAAGTTTAACTAGGTCAAATTCAGCTTGCTAGAAAGATCAGACATGCATATAAAAAAAAGTTCAAAGTGTGTCATTTCACAAAATGGAGGATTTAATTTCTTTTAAGTTATCTCTCTTCCCTGCAAAGACACCTCATTAAGAGCTGGAAGACAGGCCAAACACTCATACTTTATTTCACACAATACATTCTACTGTTCTGCAAGAAATAAAAAGATGAAATGAGACAGAAAAAAGAACTATATTGTTTTGGGCAGTTCTGTGGTTACCATATGATTATTAAAAGAAGAAAATAATTTCTAAGCTTATTTTCCATGTGCCACAACTTCTAAGCAATTAGAATTCTCTAGGCAATTTTCCCTTTATTTCTGCAATGTGCCTCTTTCCTGAAAAACTGTAACAAATTTTAATGCTATGGTTTAGGTTAAAGTTTATGCCCAACACCAACAGCAGAACGCTGGTCCCTAGATACCCCGAGAGAATCTCTTGAAAAGCCCAAACAGACAACACACTCCCCTAAATATGTTGTTATTTTGAGACTGCTTAATGCTGGATTTAATTGAAGCAGGAAAGAAGGGGGGGGGGGGGGGGGGCAGAAAAGGAAAGAGCAAAAAGGAGGAAAACAAACCTCCACCCACACAGAATGCAGGGTTGTAACTACAGTTCATTACTATATACTTGCTCATTATGCACCAACTTTTTTCAGGGCAAAAGTGAGTCAGTCTGGAAAAGAAAAGATACTATAGAGAAGGTATTACATGACCAGCAGGAGAAAATCATACTGACACAAGATATTATTTATAATTCATCAAGTAAGAAATTATCACAAAATCAATTTATCCTGGCTTGAAAATAAGCATGGTTGGTTTGTCTTGGCATTTATCTAACTGCAGGGTATCATTAAGCTCTAATAACTTTCCAGTCCACTGGTATTCTTCTTTAGTGTCTGCACTTCACAAACCAGTAACTCCCACAGAATGTGTATACTGTTAAAGACTGCTCTTTTCACCAGCCTGCTAAGCAGTATTAAAATTGCATGGGCTCCTTCAGCCAACATATTGTGCTCTATATAATGACCTTTAAATTCCAAAAGTCATTAGCACAATACAAACAAAAGAAAATATATATATATATATATATTCTGAAGGGCTCTACTACATGCAGATTAAAGTGTATCACACAAACATCATGCACTTGTGCACTTCCTGATTACAAAGGATATCTGAAAACAAAAGAAAGTGATGAGGCTAGCACAATGTCAAGTAATTTTTGAACAAGTGTGCGCTGAATAGTACTTAAGAGCACATCTTTTGTCATGAAAGGCATCAGTATTGCTTCAATGACATTAATGAAAGATTTTCTGTACTAATGTTGTAACTAAATTAATCCCAAACCTTTTAAAATGGTGATTAAATGGTAAATCAAGATTAGTGATGATCTAGTAAAACAGAAGCTAACATACAGCTGTATGAAATTGTACTTAAAAAGGTAAACTCTTCAGTTTTATTTATATGAATGACTACTAATGATCTCTTACAAAAAGTTGGAAAGGTAATACAACCACTTTTTGCAGAATGAATACTTCATGTTGATGAATCTAAGGTCTACCTAAGATGGTATGGGGTTGTAAGTTTCAATTTAAAATTCACATTTGTGACCACAAGTGGAATCCTGAATTCTGGATAAAAACAAGACACTTCCTTTGCCACACTTGGAAAGTGCAATAAAAGGCTTCCAAGTCGGATTCACAAAAGCCAAGCTCGTTGAGCAGATATTTGCCTTCTGTTTAGTGCTAGTAAAAAAGATTAATTTGGTAAAAGACAGTTTAAACCCAACATTTTCTCCTGAGCAAGTTAACAATTATGTATGAGGAAACGCCTTCTAACAAAGGATATGGAAGCTGTGTTTCCTGAGCAGCAGAAACCTCTAGCCTTCCTTACAGAAGAAAGACGGCATCCCTTAAGAACTAAACACACACTTTAAAAGGAACACAGCCCCCTCTTTTTCTCTACCAGATTACTGTAAAAACTAGCTTAAATTGTATGGTAATTGTAGGGTTAAATTGTATTCCAGTCTCTTTCATTTGAGAGGATTAAAATGCCCATAGAGGTAATAAACAAACCTGCTATTCTTGGATGGGAGAGATTCATCACCAGTTCTCCTGGCATGTTTCATTGCATAAAACATCTGAATGTTCTGGGTCAGCAGTGGCATGACTGCAGTTCAACAGATAAGGCAGCCAGCTTGTAGCAATGAGATGCTGTCCCAGCCTCACTTCTCCATCCTTCTCCTATACATCCTTTAGACTTCACATTCTCTCAGACACAGGAGAGCCATTTCAGACAACTGAGAAAACTGAAGCACCTGCTGAACAGAAGTGTACTCGAAGCTTGCTACAGGGCAGTTTTACTTCTGGATTTGGGTAATCAAAACAAAGCATGAACAGAACTTTAGGCACCTATGTTTTCTGGATGTACTTCTTGGAATTCATCTTTCACTGTAAGCAAAAAAACTGTTCTTTTTACCTTGGGGACAGAAGGGAGAAAAGGTGAAGGCTGTTACTCAGACATAAGGTAGTGTTAAGTGAAACAACATTTTAATATAAGAAGAACATGGATCTGTTTGAGTGAATCCAGAGGAGGCCACAAAGATGACCAGAGGGCTGGAGCACCTCTGCTATGAAGACAGGCTGAGAGTGAAGGTTGTTCAGCCTGCAGAAGAGAAGGCTCCAGGGAGACCTTAGAGCAGCTTCCAGTACCTAAAGTGGGTCTACAAGAAATCTGGGGAGGGACTTTTTGCAAGGGCATGTACCTGTAAGACAAGGGGGAATGGCTTTAAACTGAAAGAGGGGAGATTTAGATTAGATATTAGAAAAAAATTCTTCACTATGACAGTGTTGAGGCCCTGGCACAGGCTGCCCAGAGAAGCTGTGGCTGCCCCATCCCTGGCAGTGTTCAAGGCCAGGTAGGACGGGGCTTTGAGCAACTTGGTCTAGGGGAAGGTGTCCCTGCCCATGGCAAGGGGGTTGGAACTACTTGTACTTCTAAGGTGCCTTCCAACCCAAACCATTCTATGGTTCTATGATATGAACACCTA